GCCATCTCATGAGAAGAAAAGAGTCCTTGGAAAAAACCTTGATGTTAGGAAGGTGTGATGGCAAGAGGAGAAGGGGACGACCGAGGATGAGATGGCTGGACAGTGTCTGCGAAGCAACCAACATGAACCTGACACAACTCCGGGAGGCAGTAGAAGACAGGAGGGCCTGGCGTGCTCTGGTCCATGGGGTCACGAAGAGTCGGACACGACTAAACGACTAAACACACACACACACATAATTTGATCCTTAGCCATGCAGTTCAACTGGACTTCAACATTCATATACAGAGTGCATCCTCTACTATAGTTCAGGTTATGAACTGTTCACCTAGTTGGGGACTATCCAACTAGTGTTTTCTTTGATGGGCTGGGAGGATATGACTACTCTATCCCACCATGCCTGGCCTGCACTGCAGCCACATGGGCATCACCTCAGGGAAAAGGACAAAGGCTGCAGACAGAATCTGCTGCTACCATTCTGTTGCCCCAGCACCTTTTTCTGTACTTAATGATAGGCTCAAACTAAGAAAACTGATTCAGTGAGTACTTTTCCTTTGTTTTACAATTGTTTGGGTCAACAGAAAGAAGGTACAATAGCTGGCACAATAAGAATTGCCAGTACAGTACAGACATTTCCATTCCTCAGCTACCAGGAAAGGGCAAATCCTTGTCGAGATTGTTTTGAATGATGCAAGTTCTTATGTTACACAAGACGTATTTCTCCAGCAGCTGGTGACAGAAACTAAGCTGAAACTGGAAATGCCCATTATAATAATATAGTACCTCTGTGTCATGTGTTCAAGTACATTGATGTTTATTTGATTGTCACAAAAGGAGCAAAGTAAAATTGGTCTGACAATTTAACCAAAGACATAGGTTTGGACTCTATAACTGCTTCTGCATTTCTTTACAGTCACCCTGAAGTGCCAAGGTGGTTAACTTCAACCTATATTAGGCAAAGAATATTACAAGCAGGTCCAGGTACACATTCGTACACACTTGCCATTTGTATAGCATACACTTGAATGTTTAAGGAAATGAAATCCTGAATCTACTGAGGATGTTAAAAGTGGACATTTTCCCTTCCAATGTTGCAGTATCAGCTATTCTCTCACCATAAGGGCACAAAGAATCCATATTTGATGGTAAAGGTTTCCCTTGACATTTAGTCCAGTCATGTCCGACTCTAGGGCTCGGTGCTCATCCCCATCTCCAAGCCGTAGAGCCAGCATTTGTCCATAGACAGTTTCCGTGGTCATGTGGCCAGTGCAACTAGACATGGAACGCCATTACCTTCCCACCATGGTGTTACCTATTTATCTACTTGCATTTTTACATGCTTTCGAACTGCTAGGTTGGCAGGAACTGGGACAAGCGATGGGAACTCACTCTGTCACGTGGATTGGATCTTATGACTCCTGGTCTTCTGACCTTGCAGGACAGAGGCTTCTGTGGTTTAACCCGCAGCGCCATCACGTCCCACACCATATTTGATTACCATAGATACATTTCCAAGCAAAAGGTAGATATGTAAATATACAAAATTCAGAGGCTGATCAGTAGAGTTCATACAAATAGGAACCTCCCCAACCTCAAAAGAAAGTATAACTATATATAATCACAATATACGTTTAAGAGATGCATCACACATATGTATTGCCAGATTAATTAACAGATTTACTGAAACACAATTTTCTGTCAAAATATTGCAACTTTAGATCCATAGATACGATTATTACAAAGGCAGGATTTTCATATTCTGATTATGCAGAACAAGGTGGTCCCATTCTTCATTCCACATTTTGTTTGCTTGTTGCTTTATTGCTTCTTTATGTAAGTTAACTATGAGTAAAAGGAAAAATACATATGCATGATAGTGTCCAACTTTAATAGCAGTTTTCCTTGCCAGATATTTCAATATCATAAAATGTATTGTTCCTTTCATCATTGGAAGAAACACCTACAACAGCTTCAAGATCAATACAAGATAGTTTCTTCTCTTTGGCTTAGGGTCTAAAAGAGATGGTATGAAAAAAAGGGGAAGAGAAGGGAAAAAGGAAAACTAGAATACCCTGGCACACATATTACAAAGTTCTTACAAGGTTAAACTAGATTTTTTTTATTTTTATAACTATAACATAAACATAAAATACACAAAACAAAATACAATTTAATCATGCTCCCCACTGCCATATATGGGACCTCTTGCTATAATCTTCTTCTTCCTCCATCTATATTCTTCTTCTTTTATTGTCCTCTTCTCCAGAACTGTGTTGATTCTTGATTTGGACCTTTCCCTTTTCCTCTTGTTAACACATATTCCAAAACTCTGCCCCATATTTCATAAAAATTATTCTTTTCCAACTCTCCTTTCCTAACCTTTAAATTACAAGTTAGTTTATCATTTATAGCTGTATTCCATATTTCATTATACCATTAATAAACTAAATTTTAAAGGGATGTGTATTCCATGTGATTAATCTGATCAGCCAACTAATCCCTTTTCTCTTCCCCAACTGAGATTTTCTCAGAAATGTATGTCTCAACAATCAAACTTTCAAATGAAGCTGGTGTTTACCTTGAAATGACAAATCATAGAATACTAAGGACACTAACTGCAAGATACACAGGTGACGAAAATGCCAAGACAGACACTTGAGGGAACACCTCTTGTGTCTATGTAGTAAATATATCAGCTGTTCAACACATAGAAACAAGTCCAATAGTTCTTTTATTTCTAGATGTAGATCTCAGATAATTTCTGCACACACACACACACACACACACACACACACATCTGTGGTTGAAATGAAAACTAACAACTATTGCTTTTTCATGTGGTCAAGAATGTCTGTTTTAGTAATTCTACTCTTATGCAACTTAATAAATCAACATATATTTATAAATCAACATTGATTTATTAAGTTGCATAAGAGTAGAATTACTAAAACAGACATTCTTGACCACATGAAAAAGCAATAGTTGTTAGTTTTCATTTCAACCACAGAACACTAATACTGTATAGCTATTTCTAGATAACAGACTGCAAAGGGACACTTCTTAATGAGGGCTGAATCAAATCCTACTTAAAAGTCAGTGGAAGCTCCTCTCTCTGCTTTGAATCCAAACAAATTCTTTTCTAATGACATGTTTATTTTCTCAGGCCTATTTTTATATTGTAAAAGCCATGACTATATCCAGAAGCTGAATGTTCTGTGCTTTGTGAGAATACAAAGGCAGTATTAATTTATAGACTAAAGAGCGTGAGAGATCAGATAACAAATCTGGCATAACAGTTGAAATGACCTTTCAGGAATAGAGTATGTTTATTTTATATTATTACTTATGCCTGTAGAAATAATATAAAATAATATCTGGAGTTGTTCTGTTTATTGTTTCCTAACACAACTTAAAATATGACACTCGTTTATCCATTTCTGCAACTGACTTCAGAATCACTGGAATAAGTGTTTACGTCAGTAGACAAGCAGACAACACCACTGTAACTTCCTAGCAATGTCAGTGTGTTGCAGGACTGTTTCACCACAGTAGTTTCACCAGAACAGAGTGTCCTGTGGCATCTTAAAGATGAATATGTTTCATGTGGTAAGAGGTTTCCTAGGCAAGAAGTTTACTAAATGGGTAAAACAAACAAGACAATATAGATCTTCTATAAAGAATGTCCATCACTAGTATTTAAATGTTTTGCTTTTAGTGTGATGTGAATAAAACAGTTATAATTGGCTAGCTAATGTTGTTTAGAATGTTGCTGACTAGAGCATTAATGCATTACTATCTTAACTGAGTGAAGAACTGAGTTGTAACAAAGTAGTCAGAATTCACAGGGCAGTGTTATTCCATAATGGAGTTGTTTCCACTCAGTTACTCCATATGCTTTGATGAATCACTCACAAATAATCTGCTTTAACCAGGACAGAACATTAATGTTCAAGTGTTTAAATGAATTAAACATTGCCATAACAGTTTATTTCAGAGATAAGTAATGATAAACGTAACAGAAAAATGAGACTAAACAGAGGAAGTTGCATAATATTTTGATCAGTATTACTAAATTATTTTCAACATGTTATTTAGTTTCAGATCTCTATTTAAAAACTTTCACTTCTGCATAGTTACTCCCTTCCCAAAGGCTTATTATAAGATTGAGTCATATCTTTGTATAAAATAAGCCACAGTATGATGCTAAGAGACCAAGTTATCTGTGAAACCAAGATGCAGATAGATTTTTTACTAATAAGAGGAAAAGAAACACCAGGACATCCACAGCATCAAAAAGCACAGGAAAGCAGTAAATAAATTTGCAGCTTTTTATTTAATAATGGGCTACAGTATTTCAGATTCCCATCAATAGGTGAATGTGTATGTTAACCCAAGTTTATGACCAGTGTTAATAATATAGTTTTCATTTTCTGTAGGCCATTTTACACTTATGTAACTGCCATAGCAATGACATTAACATAAACCTGTGGCATAAATATTATACTCCATGTATTTGAACAAGTGGATTTTATTCCATAAAAATTGATGCTAAAATAAAATCTATTAGTCTTAAAGGTGTCAAAAACCTTGCATTTTCCTCTTTTGTGTTCTTTGAAGTAAAAGGAATGTGTACTGGAACATGTTCTCAAGACTACAATTATAGTATAAACTCATTGCACACCACCCATCCAATTTATCTTTTAAAATATATAAGGAAATGATCCTTCATGTAGGTAGGAATTTAGGCTTTTTTTAAGGAAGAAAATCCATGGTATTTCCATAATAAATATTCTACTGCTTCATACACTGAAGATTTCAGTAAACTGTAGAGGAATAGAACATTTTAAAGTACCGTATTTTTTGCACCATAAGATGCACTTTTTCCCCACAAAACAGGGGGGTGGAAAGTCTGTGCGTCTTATAGAGCGAAGAAAACAGATTATATTTTCCTGTTTTCTTCTCCTAAAAAAATTGGTGTGTCTTATGGAAAGGTGCGTCTTATGGAGCGAAAAATATGGTAAATTAAATAATATAGGCAGTTTCTTTGGAACATCATTTAGGATGCAACTACATAGGGAGGGAAATGCAAATTCACTTGCATTCACTCATCGTGAACTTGCACAACCTGGGGAATTCAATACTCTTTCTAGGGCACCTATAGTAACAATGCCTTGTACATAAAACAGAAGACCTTTCTTTCATTCATGCATACAATTTAAAAGATTAGACATGCAAGAGAAGGGAAGCAAAGTGGAAAAAGAAGAGTGTGGGAGAAAATATTTTGAGAATAACAAGACCGTGAAAATGTAACTTTTCAACAGACAAATAAACAAATCAACAAAAGGACCCAGAGAGGTATTATCTGGTAAATTCATTTATGTGACAGAGTTCACACAATGAAATGCAATATTTTGTAAGAAATTTCCACCAATGCCGAAAGTGTGTGCATTTCCAGTTGTATGCTAAGGCCTAGAAAATTCTTGTCTGAACATGCGCTAAGAACTCTTTTACTAAAACAGAATTCAATGTCTCCAGCAAATTTGTTAACTGGAGAGGCATTTACACTTGATAGACATAATCCTTCAAGTTAAAAGTGTGCATCTGATAAAAAAATGCACAAGTGTTTCTCACAGGATAAAATTGCAGTAACATTTGTGAAGTCATAATTCTTTTGTAAAACAGCTTAAATTAACAATACAAAGCATTTTGATTGTGCAAAGACAAACAAGGACAAAGGCATTACTCTGGCTTGGACTGCAGCTTATTCTTCTCTGGCTCAAAGAAATATTTTTCAATAGCACAGACCAGTTCATCCAGCTCTTTCTTCAACTTCTCAAAGTCACTAAGGAGTACACAGAAATAAAATAAGTTATAACAATATTTCCATCACCAAGATTCAGTTTGCACCATATGGAGGTTATTATTCATGAAAAGAACCAGCACTGTGTTCAGTAGCAATTCATGGTCTACAGAGGCTGCCTCATCCTGGAGTAACAGAATGAGAAGCTCCTCCATGCTTGGACTACTGGTTTCCTGTTAAGTATGCTTATATTTCCAGATTTGACCAAGTTATAACAATATTTCCATCACCAAGATTCAGTTTGCACCATATGGAGGTTATTATTCATGAAAAGAACCAGCACTGTGTTCAGTAGCAATTCATGGTCTACAGAGGCTGCCTCATCCTGGAGTAACAGAATGAGAAGCTCCTACATGCTTGGACTACTGGTTTCCTGTTAAGAATGCTTATATTTCCAGATTTGACTACATATAGTTAGAACTATAATATATTTTATTATATATTCTTAACTGTATTTGCACTTCCACATTGTCTTCAATAAATTGGGAAACATGCAAATAAACATTCAGCACATATTTTCCATGTTATAATGTCAGGTTTAAGTGTAACACCACAGTTCATCCTAGGTCTAGCCTGACATGTAGACTCCAAGACTTCAGAGAAGCCCATAGCTAGAGATGACTGTGAATCTTCGTTTGTAGGTTTGTGCTGGATCATATGTGTGACACCTGTGGTTCCCTTCCCCCGCCTCCCCAGCCAATGAACCACTCACCAGTTGGAGTGCGCGCTCCTCCTCCTCCTCCTCTTTGCTGTTTGACCAGTCCCTGGCAGGAGCACAGGTTTATCTGCCTCCTTGTCTGAGTGGGCAATCAGCCAATGAGGCGGGGCAGGGAAGCCTGAACTCCTGCCAGAGACTGGTGGAGCAGCCGAGGAGGAAGAGAGGACTGCATGCCAGCTGGCAAGTGGGGGATCCAGCCAGGGAGGCAGAGGAAAAGAATGTGTGGCACCTGTGGTGCCGCATGATACAAACCATAATGAACTTCCGAACCAAGGTTCATGTCCATCTCTATTCATAGCACTTTAAACAGAAGTCTTTTAGATATTGTTGGATAAATGTTATAACCCACTTCTGGGCAGAACATTGAGTTATATAACATTCCTGGTGAATTCATTTTCTCTGTTAACATAGTGTCTTTTTATTCCTTCATTTCTGATTAAAAAGAGTTGTGTAACAAACTATTTTTTATTTTTTATTCTTCTAACAATCTTATATTTTATATACAAACAGAAAATCATCCTGCCTTAGAACTAATTCCATCACAATTCCTATCTATAGCCTGATGCCTATTTTAATGAGCAAATTGTTACAAAGTGATCATTTTGTACATTTTAAAAGTCTTGTATGATAGTTCCCCAGCCAACCCCACCCACAAGAAATGCAGCTTCTGTGCACAGAAGAATAATAATAATTAAAAAACACTCAGATGTTACTGACAAGGTTTAAAAATGTTTTATATCTGTATATCTCAGCTCAGATGCAGACCTATATATCTGTCTGAAGGGGACATTCATGAATAGTGTTGATTGGGATAACCCTCATAGGATAGTATTATTATGTCTGCAGAGAAGAAACAAGCATGCTTGTAAAAATGACATTAGCATTTAGGTCACTTGAAAAAAATCTTAGTGGCAACTGGAATGCTATCTGCTCTCCCTTTGGCTCAGCCCATCATAGCATGCTGTAAGGGGAATTAAGAAGGGGAGAGGTAGTTAAAAGTCAGATAGTGAATTCTGAGGGATGAAGAATGATTAGAGTCAATGTGATACAATCTGGAAGAAGAAATTGGTATAAAAGTGAAGGAAAACTTAAATAAGATACAAGTATGAGAAAAGAAATGAATGGTGTCAGTCAGCTTAATATGCTTTATTATTGTGTTCGACTCTTGTAAGCAAGGTGTACTTGTTACTTGTACTTGTTAGGTAGTGGAATCTAGTCCTGCACTTATAAAGCTGCTGCTGCTGTTAAAGTTATGCACTCTCAAATCACCTCCAGCGTACAATGGCCCTCCTATTATGATGGACACACACAGTCTTATCCTTTAGTAGAGTTTGTTCATTCTCTTTATAAACCCATTGTGGTTCTGGCAGAAAAAATAAATGAGGCCATAGGGGCATAGGGAATAAAAGACAGCAGCCAAAAGAATGCTGAAGTCATCAGTTACCCCTTTCTCAAAACTATTCTACCCTAAACTACAGTTGGGCATAGTGCGGCCCTCCAGATGCCCTTGACAGTGACTCCACTCAACCCTAGTGAGCATGATGAGGAATGCTGGGAGTTGTGCAAACTAATGACACCATTTTGCCCAATCCTGCCCTCAACATAATAAAGCCTTGAAAACCGCTCTGTGACATCTTACTGGATTTTAATAACCAGTTAATACAAAAGGCAGAATTTCCAAACTATACCTGTTCCCAGGAGGAGCACAAAGCTCTGCATAGTATTTGATTTTTGGTTCAGTCCCACTAGTTCGCATTGTAGCCACACATCCATTATTAAATGTAAACGTTATCATTTGGCTGCTCTTGCTTGTAGGGAGCACCTACGGCCAAAAAAGGCAATTTTCACATAATGTTTTCCTATTGATTGTATGCAATTTAGATGCATAAAAATGAAGCAACAAATCCTAAAAGAACAGTTTTGGAAAAAGGGAAGGATGGAATGGAGCAAGAAAGCTCTAAATTTTCCTTGGCTTTTCTCATGAGACTCTGTGGCAGCAGAGAGATCAATCGCTATCTTCTTCTTGAATCTGTATGACTTGACACTGGGGTGACAAACAAAACATATATTTGTGTAACAGGCAGGTAACATTCTCCCCTGGGACTTATTTAAGATAAATTAGAGTGTGACCACTGCACACTATGATGCCACTAATGGATCCCATGATATGCCCCTCTCAACCACATATGGTTTTTGCTAGGATCACAAAGCTTACCCAGTGAAACTCGTAACTGAGTGGAGATTTAAATCTGAACCTCTTCATCTCCATCTGACAAATTAACCATTAGGCCACACCAGCAAATAAAACTTTAGCAGCCCATCATGATCAGTTTATGGCAACTGGCAGTGTTCATTCTGTAAGTCAATGTTTCAATCAGCATCATGCTGCTATATGTTAAATTATGAAATGTCCTCTGGTATTCTCTGAAAGTAAATATGATCTATGAAGAAATATAATCCCAAATGGGAGTATTCTACCTGCAGGAGCTCTTTTCATTGTACAAGAGTCAATTGCAGCAATTTCAAATATGCAGATTTTGAGCTGTTACAGTGCCTCCTGTGCCACTACAATAAATCTGTTAGTCTTTTTGTGGTAAAGAACTTCTTTTTGTGTGCATGCTATAACTCGCTAACCTCGTTACCACCTAAAAAGAAATCAGTGGTGTCTGTTTTTAAGTAAAATATATATGGTCAGACCAAAAATACTAAGTGTGCTGTGAGCAAAGATTTTATAAGAATGTTAAAAATGAAGGGGGGGGAGCTACTTACGGCTTTTTTATCAGATTGGTTACTGTCGTAACCTGTAGTGAGATCTCTGACTCCAGACACTGAAAATCTCCCACAGGCTTTGGGATAAGTATTCTTCCCGTCATAATTTCTAAGCTTCTCAAACAGCTCCTTAATAGTCTTTTGATCATAACAAATAAAATACGAAGCTTTGGTAACATGGTAGCCATACCTACAAATACAAAATGGTCACCTGTGAACTGCATGTACTTTGTATGTAGAATGCGTGTTAAATTGTTCATGAAAATTCAACTCACTCATTGTAAATATTTTTCAGTTGCTGGGATAAAGATTCATTTTTAGTTGCCAAGAAACTTGACATCTCTGCAGTTATGACAGCAGCACTGACACCATCTTTATCCAAGACTGTGGGGCTACACATATAGCCTAAAAAGGAAGGGTACAGGGAAAAATGCTCATTTGTTCAATCAAAATGTTTTTTAGAAGTGATAAAAACACAACATTCTGATAATGCTTCACTTGAGATTAGATCACAACACGATGATCTTGCTGGCAGACCTATGTTGTGTTCACTTCAGCACTTTATCTACTTGATCAGAGAGTGAAATCATTCAAAACAAATTACCCATAGCAGTAAATCCATATCATTGCAATGTTAGGATGGTCAGTCAGGTATCTAAGTTATATGCTTTATTTCTTGACTGTCTATGAAAGATGCATGATGGTACGTATGCATTTGTTAAGAATATTTCTGACCCTTAAGCATAAAGTAATGTTAGACACAAATCTGTTTTCAAACAAATATCCCACACATCAAATTTTTTCATAATTTTCATTGGTTACATAGAAATACTGTGTACTAGTATTATAGCTACTCCTTTAAAATAGATACATCCATAATCTAAGCATTTCCCCATTACCTTTACCAAGCTTATATGCAGTTCACTGTATTATTTTTTAATAATAATAAGTTTGAGCCAATTTTAGATTAGATTAGGCATCCTTCAGTCTCAAGAGACTATGGTAACATGCTCTGTATGGAGGACTTGGAACAGCATCTAGTGTGGCTGAGAAGGCCAATTCGAGAGTGACATTCCCTTCCACACTGAAGACAAATACAATCTGTCCTCTGTCCAGCTCCCTGATTTTGCTGCTTTCGTGACTTCATCTTTGCCTCAGCCTGCTGGACAAGGGTCTCTTCAAATTGGGAGAGGCCGTGATGCACCGCCTGCCTCCAGGCTGAATGCTCAGATGTCAAGGTTTCCCATCTGTTGAGGTCCATTTCTAAGGCCTTCAGATCCCACTTGCAGATATCCTTGTATCACAGCTGTGGTCTCTGGGGTGATTTCCCTGCACTAATTCTCCATACAGGAGATCTTTTGGAATCCAACCATCAGCCATTCTCACAACATGTCCAAGCCAACACAGATGTTGCTGTTTCAGTAATGTATACATGCTAAAAATTCCAGCTTGATCTAGGGCTACTCTATTTGGAACTTTGTCCTGCCAGGTGATACCAAAAATGTGTCAGAGACAATGCATATGGAACATGTTCAGCTTCCTCTCCTGCCGTGCACAAAGGGTCCAGGACTCACTGCAGTACAGGAGTGTGCTCAGGACACAGGCTCTATAGACCTGGATCTTGGTATATGCCATCATTTTCTTATTGAGCCATACTCTCTTTGTGAGTCTTGAGAACATGGTAGCTGCTTTGCCAATGCGTTTATCCAGCTCGACATCTAGGGAGAGAGTGTCAGAGATTGTTGAGCCAAGGTACACAAATTCATGGACAACCTCCAATTCTTGTGTGGAGATGGTAATAGAGGGAGGTGAGTCCATACCCTGGCCCATGACTTGGGCTTTCTTCAGGCTGATTGTTAGTCCAAAGTCTTGGCAGGCCTTGCTAAAGCAATTCATGAGTTGTTGGAGGTCTTCAGCAAAGTGGGCAACAATGGCTGCATCATCGGCAAAGAGGAAGTCCCGCATGCATTTCAGTTGGACTTTGGTCTTTGCTCTCAATCTAGAGAGATTAAAGAGCTTTCCTTCTGATGTAGTCCGGAGACAGACACCTTCTGTTGCAGTTCCAAAAGCGTGCTTCAGCAGGACAGCAAAAAAGATCCCAAAAAGGGTCGGTGCGAGGACCCAGCCCTGTTTCACTCCGCCTCTGGTGTTGAGCCATCAAAAACAACAGTGCCCTTCATTCCCTCATGAAAGGACCTGATGATTTTAAGGAGTCGAGGTAGACATCCAATCTTGGGAAGTATTTTAAAAAGGCCATCCCTGCTAACCAAATCAAAGGCCTTTGTGAGATCTATGAAGGCCACAAAGAGTGGCTGTTGTTGTTCCCTGTATTTCTCCTGCAAATGTCTGAGGGAGAATGCCATGTCAGTGGTGGATCTATTACCTTGAAATCCACACTGTGATTCTGGATAGACTCTTTCTGCAAGCACCTGGAGTCTCTTCAGTATATACATCTCTTTAAAAAGAAAAGACTCTACATGTCTTATAAATCTACCAAACACAAACTGTACTCACCTTATCAGTTCTCATGATCAGTAAAAATACAAGAAGCAGCATAATACTGAACAACTGCAAAGCACATCCCTATGTAAAGACTACGTTTCAAACAGGTATTTTTTCAGCTTACATTCATTTACAGTTCAGTAAGGGGAAACATTACCAATAGCTTCTTCAAAGGCAAATAAGACATTTTTTCCCTGGTCTATGAGCTGCTTGGCTCGATTTCCCATCCACTTGAATCCTGTAAGTGTTTCCTGTATAAAGATGGACAAATGAGAGTTTCTATTAGGCTCAGGTGCAGGTGTGGGGATGGGGGGGGGAATCAGCCTGCCCGTCTCCCTGCCCCTCTTACCTCAAAGTGGAAGCCTTCTTTAAGTGCAATTGCTCTTAAGATTTTAGATGATACCGTACTAGAGAGCATGTACACATCTTTAACAGCATCAGGATTCCGATTCTGCTTTTTCCAGCAAGTGAAGATCCACCAGCCCAAAAGAGCTCCCAATTCATTGCCAGAAAACACTTTCCATTCTCCACTTGGGTGCAGGCAGGGGACAAAAATTTCAAGACAATAAAGGCAGCAGTTTGACAACTTTACATTTACAAGAAAAACAAGAACTGTAATGGTGCTGTAAAGGTGCTGATTCTGCAGCTATAAAAATAAGGATGCTAGATATGCAGGCTTCATTAATTTTCTACAGATCTTGGATACATAACCTTTCTCAAAGGGACTGAATGAACACACACTTTGCATTCTTTTTAATGGCTAGGTATGCCCAGGAAGACATTAGCTTTATGTATATTTACTTTTTAGGAAGACTAGAAGAAAAGTAGGACAACAGGCAATATATATATATGGGTATATAAATTAAGGGAGCAAACATGTCACAAAATAAGGAAATTTGATTATACAGATCTACATTGATGCATCCCTACACATGGGAACTGTTATATAACACTGGGGAGGGCAGATCCCCATTATATGTGTAAAAAAACCCAACCCAACAATGAACAGTGGGGTCCATGAATGCTCGCAATGCCATCTGGTACATTCATTGCAGTGTTTACTCAATGTGTAAAAGGTCTATACATATACACACTGATATATAAACAAAGGACTCCTATATATGTGTATCAGAAAATCCCTGACCCCCTTTGATGGAAAAGCTCCGCACACAGCCTTTAATATACAATGCATGGTCACTTGCTTATCAGGGCCTGATTGCCAAGGATACTGATAGTTGTAGTCCAAAAAAGGAACACAATTGTGGCAAACAAGGACATATTCAGTTGACGTGAAGAGGAGAAAGGAGGAAACTACAGCAAAACAAGACCATAAACAATAAGTATAGACCTTTTTCAATTTTTATTTTATTTTACTTTCAATCACTCCCAGGTACTCCTAACAGCAAACATGCTGCTAAACACTGAAATGAGCAAGCCAAACATACCTTTCTTGTTTCTCTGCAACAGCAAGCCGGTCAGCATCTGGGTCATTTGCTAAAATAATCTGTGCTCCTTCTTTTTCCGCTAAAGCAAAAGATAACGTCTGGAGAGAAAAAAGATATGTAAAGCAGTAAATACTGATTATGGGGTTTTTAAAATGGAGGCTATTCACAGTTTAGTCTCTCCATAACACAAAAGGCCTACAAGTCCATTACAGAGACTGAAATGTTTAGATGAATTCTTCTGCCACACAGACTAGCATTGATTCACACATTATTTTAATTTCACAGCTTCAAAAACATGGATGTATCACCTTTCTGATTCCCTGTAAGTAACATAAGAATTTATTTCAAGTTGGGAAGGCGAGGGAAAAGGTGCTTGATAATTTTAACCCCCAAAAGGTAGAAGTATATGTTAAACTTAAAGGAAAATTGAAAGTGGATTTAGAAGTTCATGGATGATCAGGAAAGGTCTGATGTGCCAAAAAAGAAATGTAGAAGGAAGAAATTTTACTAAACGATGTTTACCAGTACGCCTTTACCCTCCTCAGGATTTGGATATTTTACTGTTGGAAATTCTGGATCAGGGTCCTTCTGTTCAGGAACAGCAAATGGAGGGCTAAAGTCAAATGCCTTAAAGGCTGATTGCACAAATTCATGGCCTACACCGTGCACAGAAGTATGGACAAATTTCAGCTTTGTCTCCTTGTTTATATTCCTGAAATTAAGTACATCAATGATATTAAATTGGCATAAGCTTGTTTACAATTTAGAAACAAAGAAATATACTATATAATTTTCTTTGACTGTAACTCTTCTACAGCTGCCTGACTCTGAAGTTAAGGAGCACAGAATGTATGTACTAGCAATGTTGTGCAACAATTAAGGGCATCCTAGATATTTTGGCACACACGGTGATACAAAAGTCTTAAAAGGTTTTACAAAGGAAACCCTGCCAAATGTAAATGCAATACTAGCACTGTCAACCATGCCTAAAGAGATTCCATGCAGTAGGGCAGGGAATGAGTTACAACAGCCCCAAGCCTTTGGACATTTCTTTCATGAATACTTTTCCCTAATATTAAAAACACAAACATTGACTCACCATATCTACCCTTCACCATATACAGCAGGCTTCTATTGTGGCCAGTCTTGCTACTCTAGGACACTAGATAGGGTTTTGTCAATGCAACCCCCTGTTACATATACTACAGAAAATACATGGCTTCTTTGGGATGTCTTCATGCATCTCCTATTCAGTTTTTAATAGTTGCCCAATATAGTTGTTGTTTCCTTAACATTATAAATACAATTCTTCCAGAGCTTGGAAGTAACTGATTTCAAGTAATACAATTACCTGAAAACCCCTTTTCAATTAAAAAGTAATCAAACTAGTAGTTACAAAAAATTACTGCTGATGTCAATACCTGTAACTAGTTCCTTTTAGGCAATCCATGTATAACTAATTTATATTTCAAAAGTAACAGGATGAATGAAGTAACTTTATTTGTATAATGAATAATGTTTTCTACTTACTTTAAAAAGTTACTTTTAATTTGCATTTTGGGAAGATAAGTTCAGGTTTTAAGTCATTCTCTAGAGCTTCCTCACAAAAGACACAGAAAGCAGCAAAACCCACAGTTCGACACCACTGCTCTAGAGCTTCCTCACAAAAGACATAGAAAGCAGCAAAATAAATAATGAGCATCCCAGCAAGTAACATAAGTTACTTTCTGAACACTATAAGGAGTAATGACAATGGGTTACTTCTGAAATGCTGGAAAGAGAAAGTACTTGTAAAAAAGTAATTTTCAAAGTCCCAGTTGCAACTTTATTCAATTACTGTCCTGTTGTAATAAAATTCAGTATCCCAGGTTTGTTCTCAGGAGGTAAGGAGAACTGCTGCAAAATCACCTGTGAAAGCAGTGCTTCTGTATATCTTTGAAGTAGTCTTTGTTAATAGACGCATAAGGGTCATGGAGAAGTAAGCTTTGATCTACCAAGCTGTCATCCCAAGCTTGAGGCCATGGCTCTAGGTTTTCTTCAATAGCTTGAGCAATTCCTTTGTCATGAGGTTCAATAATCTGAGAACCATTTTCCCAATACACCTAAGTGATGTTCAAGATATAAACGGAAATTTCTTTCATTACCATTTGTTTAAAATGCAGTTTGACATATTCTACTATAAAGGAGCATGAACAGCAACTGTGCCACAACAAGCATATTGTAATATAAAAAATGCACACTGAAGTGTTTTCCTGGGCTATCATCGCCAATGGCTAGTGCAGATAAAACTCAACTGATTTATCCAAAATCTATGCCAATACTTCAGAAAAAATATCTAAAGGAATACCTTGTATCCATTATCTTGTTTAGGGTTATGGGATGCAGTAACCATAATGCCAGCAGAAAGTTTCAGGTGTGTCACCGTATAGGGCTATAGGAAAGCAACAAAATAGCAAAATTAAAATGGATGAAGTCATAAAGCACTTCTTCAAAGTTTTTAAAAGGAAATATTTATTCCATTTGACTCATGTTTCTCTACAAATGCAATATTCATGTACTATGTTCAGAAAAAGCATGGGAAAATCTTCATTTTTACATCCTACTTTCTCATCACTGTTAAGTAATGATACTCTGTCTCACTGCAATCTCACTGTAGTCTAACTCTTAGCACATTTTAGAAGCATTGTAGAAACTCCTGTTTGATGGGTTGATGGGATTCAAACTGAAGCTGAGAAAAAAAAGGATAAATAATCTTCTGTGAGATATTTCTGAAGTCTTGTTCTCTGCTACTGTTATTTGTTCTCATTATGTTAAAGCATCTCAATAAATAATTAACTAATTAAATATTATCTTTCCAACATCACTGTGAAGTATGCAAGGATGAAAAACATATTTTTCGAAAGCCAAGCAGTAAGCTTTGTAACAGTGGGACCTGACACTAAAGTCTCTGTGGCCCAAGTAAAACTTGATACCTTTTATATTGGGGCAGGGAATGTGTGGCTCTGCAGAAGACTGTAATTCTCCTGAACCCTCACCATTGGTTATAGAGCAAATGGGAATTGCAGTCAACATCCAAAAGCCATTCCCCATCCCTGCTTTGCCCACACTGGCTGTCTATCCTTCTTTGCAATTCTATTATGATCATATTAACGAGTATCCTCAATATCAAGAGTTCATGACTCTTAAATAATTCTGTCAAGCCTCTCAGGCAATTAAGATGCAACAGAATTATTATTAAAGATGGCAATCCAAAATATGTTTATTGTTTAATAGTTAAGAACCTGTTTGATCAATAACAGGTTATTTTAAGCATAATGCGAATCTGTCATCTCAATCTGTCAGACATTGGCATGTCTGTCACTCTGCAGTATTGTTTCTGGGATCCTGTCTGATCATCCTCAAAAAGAAAAAAAAGGAGAGTCCTCCAAAGCCCGGGGGGGGGCAGAAAGAAAAGAAAAAACAAGGGCTAGAGAAACTTCTCATGTTCTAGGCGGCTGTAGATGAATGGCTCAGATTAATCAAGAAGAGATTATGGCGTCTTCACATAGGAAATACATGCAGAAGATGACTCTTTAGTGAATTTCATGTGTCTTACTTCTACTGTAGCAAGATATAAGTAGAACAACTGAAAAAAATATCACCTACCACAAAAGGAGTTGGTGTTATACTAGAGAAAAGGTACACAGGAATACCCTGACTAATGAACGTTGTTGCAGCAAGTCTTGCAAATCTATTGGCAAGAAGAAGAAAAAATGAAAAATGAACAGTGGAATCCTCTCAAAATCTGAACAAGCGTAGCACTGAATGTGGCTGTAATTTAGTTGTCACTCAGGATCACTTTATACAGCATGTTTCCAGAATACAAACATGATTCCACATCCATGGTGGAAGCAGTGTATGTTTTGCAACATGTGAAGGTATAATAAAATTCTGGGACTATGCAGATTAGGCCATTTACTCATATAAGATTCCTTCAACATGTTTACCAGCAGAAAGTAGAGTTCCAACGCCCTGCATGGATTATAAAATGCATTGTTTTTCCAGGATGGAGATTAAACTCCATGCCAGGAAGAATACAAATACCTATGTAGCAACATATAAAGCAGGCCTAACCCACACTGCTAATGGGATCCAAACTGGTTGTACTGAGAAGCCTATTTTAGAGACAACAAGCATGTTACAGCAGGAAGCTTAACCATGAAAATTCCAGCTCATGCAAAATGTGGTCTGTGAAATTTCAAGGTCACTCATGGGTGGCTATGAGTAATCCACTGTTTGAAGAAATACAAGACTCCAGCTGTAGCAATGCTTCCAGATATCGGGTACTGATGTAACAATTTCCTGGGAAATTTCTTATTCTGAATGAGTTTTTGGATCACACCATGCCATGAGATTCCAAGAGTTTTTACACACACAGCTCAATCCCCACCCCCGCTTCTTTTATTTCCTGCAATTCACTCTGTGCAGGAAACAGCCAAGTTCAGGTAATAAGAACTTCTTGGGTGGGGAACTTTCAATATTAATGTTAATACACAATCACTGTAGACTAACTGTCAGTGTAGACAGTACCAAGCTCGTTTGTCCAATGGTCTCATTTGGTATATAACAGGTTTCTGTCAATTTGCACATTCCAATGAATAACACCTGTCTTTTTATTTTAAAACCTCTACATATTCAGAAAACATGGAACAATGTCAGTCTATATCTGCACTCAAAGTTCCAGGAGTTTGTGACCAGAGGAGTAAACAGGGCAGTTTTTGTGTAATTGGTGAAAGAGGGAAGACAGAAACTTCAACTTTTATCTGTCAGAAATCCAACTCTGCTAAGATTGCAAAGTCCAAGAAACTTATTGCTTGCATGGGACAACTTCATTTTCAAATAGCAAAGCGGTGGAAGAAGTGATTAAGGTCCTGGGTCTGGTCCTCATGAGTAGGGAGGAACTACTTAGTGACCATATCCTCCAATGGTTAGTTATACTGAGAAAAGATAAAGCTGAGAACAGTATAATGAGCACTGTGCAACTTAGGAAAGCTAATTTAAATAAGCTTAAGGAGATACTGAGTCATATTTTGTGATAAAGAATACTCAAAGACAAGGGAATCCACAAGGGCTGGGAGTTTTTTTTAGAGGTGAGGTACTGAAGGCACAGTCATAAACAATCTCTATTGGAAAGAAAAGTGAGAAATGTCTAAAGAAAATGGGGTGGCTGCATAAGGGGTTTTCAGATGAGAGGAAATTTGAAAGAGGCATGGATAGGATGGAGGAGTAACAGTATAAATGAATAGTCAATATTTGTAGACAGACAGCTAGGAAGACTAAGGCTCAAAATGAGCTCACACTTGCAACAAAGTGTGCTGCTTATATACTACCCCACAGCACTTAAAGCACTCTCTGGGTGGTTTACAGATTTATTATGCAGGCTACACATTGCCCCCTCCCCCCAGCAAGCTAGGTATATTGTCTAAATCATGGCAAGTAATATATCACTCCTCCAGCAAATCAAGGCTAAACTATCTTAGGAGGCAAAAATGATGATACTGAGACTGACATACTGTGGGTCCATCATGAGAAGGCAAGGTTCTCTGGAAAAGACAAAAATGCTGACAAAGGTTGAAGGCTGCGGGGAAAAAAGGAAGAACAAATCTGAGATGGATTGACTGCCTAAAGGAAGCCACCGGCCTGAGTTTACAAGAGATGAGCAGTGCTGTTGAGAACAGGATATTTTGGAGATTGTTCATTCATAGGATTGCCATAAATCAGAGGCAACTTGATAGCATGTAACAACAGCAATAGTATCTATCACTCAGTCCTGGTTTAGTCAGACCTCATCTCAATATTGTATCTTATTCTGGACATCACAGTTTAAGATAGATATTGGCAAGCTGGAATGTGTCCAGATGAGGGTGGACAGTACAGCTAACAATAAATAAATAAATCTGGAAACGAAGCCCTGTGAAAGTTGGCTGAGGAGCTGAGTAGATTTAACCTTGAGAAGAAAAGACTTAGAAGCTACCCTCACATATTTGCAGGGCTGTCATGTGAAACATGGAGCAAGCTTGTTTTCTGTAGCTTCACAGGATGGAACCCAACATAATAGATTCAAAAGTATAAAAAAAGATATTTTGCCTGTGCATTAGAAGTTGCTCTTGACAGGGCTGTTTGACAATAGAATTGAATGCCTCAGAGGTTGGTGGACTCCATGAGAAGCTTTTAAACAGAGCTTGATGACCACTTGTTGGGGATGCTTTACTTGCGAATTTCCTGCTTCAGCGGAGGTTGGACTTAATGAGCCTTGTGGCCCCTTCCAGCTTTATATTTCTATAATAGCTTTACAAACACAAAGCAGCAATTCAGAGGGACCCAAGTACCCTCTTAAATAAAACTGACTCAACACTCAGTTGTAAAGGAAACAGATCACAATTCTACCAGGACAAGGTTTTAAAATCCCGGAATCACTGCAAAGAAGGTCTTCCACCCCGCTACATAAAATGCAAGAAACTCAACGCAGTGTCTCCGAAGCACATGGTATGGGATCCTTACATTCATATGCAAGTTTTAAATATAAGAGTTGTAATAACAACTTTATTCCATTGTAGTAAAAATAGCAGTCTTCAGAGGAGTATGTCAGGGGTGTACATGGAATAGCAACAGGTGTACATGTTGCTATTTCTGTCTCAGGCTCCTGCTTTGCCACAAGAGGCTTGTACTAGCATTATTGGGCAAGTGAACTATTAAAATGTGTGGCTGAAATATGGTTGTATAACTTACAACTTCAGAGAGGTGATGGTGGTACCATCAGGGACAAAAGAAGAAAGTTTTTAAGTACTAAACATTACTAATACTTCCTCATAATGAAAGGGATTACACAGGAATCGGATGAGCAGTGAGGCAGAAATAGAAAGTTTTTGATTACTAAAATTGTCTTCTGTTGTTGACAATCATCACCCTTCCATAAACACAATTTACACAACAGATTTCAGCCTGCATATGATAATAATTTTTGAAGTCTTACTTACAAAGTGCCTTTATCAATTCCATCAAGAGATGGCATAGCTGCAAAAGTTTGTTTTCCCACAATATATTCTCACCCCTGCAAAGAACACAAGACCTAAAGACCAAATTGTTTCCAAGTTCTTAGCCAAAGCTAGGTGCCTCTCCTGACGGCCAAAAAGGAATTCTGTTTTTCTTTTCTTCCACAAGAAATATCACTGACCACCAGATGGCAGCAAAGTGAAATTTTAGGGAACTCATTCAGCTTGTGAAACATTAAATTTCGCAAAACTCTGACACAATCCTGACAGCTAGCCTTGCATGTTTTTATAGAAAGGTTTGGGATTTCAGTATTTTTCAAGGATTCAGCTGCAGGCAGTTTCTCAACTAGCCCTTCAAACAAACCAAATAATTTTTTTCTTTTTTCTTTTAAGTGATACAGTGCCTCAACAATAATAGTCTACTGGAGAAAGTTTACTCCCCCTGCCCCTCTACCAAGAAGAAGAGGAAGTTTTCAATTTTCTGATATCCCAAAGTGACTCGTTTACTAAGCCACTGTAAGATATCAGAAAGAGCCAACCCAAATAGGGTTGCTTGAACTCTGATATACCATTTGGATGTGAGGATCGCACGAAATGGCATATCACACTTTCACCAGACCCCAAGTGACTCTATTTAGCCCACACAAGTCTGCTCCAAAAAGACTAGTGTAGACAAGCCCAGAGTTTAAGACACGTTTTTGTTTTCAATTCAGAAGGAGTCCAAATGAGCTCTTTATTTACTTTTTAAAAAATTAGACAACAAGCCCATCCATCATACACCAACCATTGCAAGAATTGTCAGGTTTACCTTTTGCTACTACCCCCGCTTGAAGGATGAGCCCGAGCATCATAGCCAATTATTACACCTCTGCTCCTCACATCACTGAAACTTTTTTCGAGGTACCTACAAAATCCCTAAAAGACAAAGATACATGCACGTCTCAGTAATGTTGCGAGATGTCACAAAATTTTGGTACTCCTTCTCTAAAAGAAAGGGAAGACCTAAGAAGTTATGGTACATTCGAATGCATATGTCATAGGGCTTGTGAGTATCTATCCTGCCCTCAGATTTTGGATATAATCTGATTTAAGAACCCACCAAGAAACTATATGGCTTTCATAAAGTCCCCTCCCCTGTACCTCATAGCTTATATGCCCTGTTTTATCACATTTTACTTGATGCTATTTATGTTAGAAAGAAAGAAAGAAAGAAAGAAAGAAAGAAAGAAAGAAAGAAAGAAAGAAAGAAAGAAAGAAAGAAAGAAAGAAAGAAAGAAAGATTATTAGGTTGTTCTCAAATTTGTTTATAAATTTCTAAAATAAATATACAGAAACACATCCCAAAATACACCAAAACCAACATATTTATTTTCCTCCTTTCTGATGAAACCAGATTTTTTTTTCTAAAAATAAATACAGTAGTACCCATCTATTCACAGGATCAATATCCACAGTTTCACTTTCCTGCAGTTTACCACAGCCCTATGTATAGTATGCAAGGAGTGCCTCTTATGACCTTTCTCTCCTACTTGTATATATATATATATTTCATACAGTACAGTATATCCACAATTTCAGGTATCCACAGTAGATTGTCCAACTGATCCCCTGAGGATATGGGTGTCCTACTGTACTGCAAATAGGCAAATACTTTTGTTCAGGTTAACTCATAAACTAAGAAGTGAACACTGAAAACTTCAAATCTTATTTAGAAAAATTCCTAATGTAGCAAGGTTTTAACAATCTAATATCAATATCAACAATTTCACTGATAGAGGGTGGCACATTCTGACCATACTGACAATGAAATGCCCCATGCTACAATTTTGTGTTAGCACTGCAGACCATAACCTCACTGATTCAAATCTAATGTCTAGAAATGTGGTGTGCTACAAGTCATGTGCTTTCTTATACACATGATTTTTCAAGAAGCTTGTACAGCAGAAAGCTTGATTCTATGTTCCTTCATTCAGAGAATCACCATGAGCAACTAATCCATAATATATCAGGAATTTTATTTTATTATGTTTTATTTTATGAATTATGAATTTAAATCTGAGATAGGCAGCTACTGGGATATTATACATACTAGTTTAGAGAGACTGCCATGCATGTTGATAATCCAGTGCTGGAGAATTACACAGGGAAATAGTATTATAGATAAAAACAAAATAAAAATAAAAAGTAAAAAAAAGAGACAAAAATGCAGCGGCATCTTAAAGACTAACCAATCCAGTGCTGGAGAATTACACAGGGAAAATAGTATTACAGATAAAAACAAAATAAAAAAAAAAGTAAAAAAAAAAGACAAAAATGCAGTGGCATCTTAAAGACTAACTTTTATATTTTTAAATGTGAGCTTTCATGGATAAGTCCACTTTTTTAATATGAGCTTTTGTGGACAAGTCCACTTTTTAAATTTTGTTTTTACCTATAATGCTTGCAAAGTCTAACATGGCTACCCATTCTACAACAGGGAAAATACTAAGGCACTAGCAGCATTATTTCTCTCTAGGCATTACATACAGATAGTCTACATCACTTGAGTACATTTATATGGAGCAAATGACAAATTAGACTGTAAACTGCTGCTGTTTTTCTTAAGAGATTTTCTAGCAACAAAATTACAACAATGTTCACCTCTGAGCCTTGGAAGATTGCCAGTTCCTGCTATAAATAATGCAAACAGCTTAAGCTGTCTCATCTTCACAGTGTGACATACATCAATAGTACTCAATGTCTATGCAATGATTTCTTAACTTACTATCTTTTCCTCAATGTTCTTGGCATACTTTGGGTATGTGAGGTTCAATTATTCAATTATTCTGCCCCTCACTTCAACACATATACCTCACAATTAGTCTGTCTGTACATTGCTGAAACTCTATTCGTGTAAGTTCTGTGATGTGAGGTCGACAATGTCATCAGCTAAGGCCATTATTTGGAAACTAAACATTTCCTTCTCTCATCCTCTGGCCACCATAAATCCTAAGTAATTTTAAAATCAAGAAGTTGTGAGATAGGAGGGGAAAGTTTTTAATTACCAAAAATCACCCCTACAAGGATGACATTACTGGCTGTGGCTAGAGATGGGATATTCATATCCGTCTCCTCAGGGAGACAAGTAGGACTATTGTCACCACAGGTGGCCGGGTCAATTGGACCCTCCCCCCAGACCTACGCCATCCATTTACCACTTACATCATCATTTGTGCCAAACCAATCACATAAATAGCCTGGCCAGGGTGTCCCCACCTCCCTGTCCTGGTAACCAGTCAGCAGCTAGGTGGGGAGACTCATCATCCTGCCACATCTCTGAATTGGTCAGCATCACGGGGAGGTAGGGAAGCCCCAGCTGGGCTACTTCCGTGCTTGGCATGGCACAAGTGATGATGGCCGTGAGCATCGCACCACAAGCAGTAAGTGCACCCAGTTCTGGGGGGGAGGTTTAATCAGCCTGGCTACTTCTGGTGGCAATATTCATATTTGTCTCCCCTGGGAGACAAATATGAATATCCTATCTCTAGTTGTAGAAATTTTGTCATTAAACACTCCTCCCTCCTATCCCAATTTCTGACAATGAATGGGATTACTCCTCCTTCCAGGGGATGAAAAGAGGAAATGCTTAATTTCAAAATAAATAAATAAAAAAAAAAAATAAAAAACCCTATGAGGATGACATCATCAGCTTTATACCACAGAATTCCCACAAACATGATTTCAGCCATTATATGGGAGACATAGATTACACCTACAACAGCACTTTCCTTTTAGTCTGCACACTGTATTATTTGTTCAAGCTAAAAGTTAGAGCAATTGTGAAATATAGCTAATTTGTTCCAAGTAATGTTCATACCCATTTTGATAAAACAAAACAAAAATCCCTATGCTTAAATTGACTTTTAGTCACATTAATGGAATGCTGGCAGTCAGTTGAAGAGAAAATATATAAGTTCTCCCCTGCCTCCTTTAAAAATGCTGTCATTTTATTATTGCAAACCTTTAGGGATGTGCTATTTGGATTTTTTTTAATCCCAACTGCTAGAATTCCCCATTCTGCCAGACCCACATCTAGGGACATCTAAATTTTGCTCATCTGGAGAAAGGCCTACCTTGAAGGCTTCATGGCCTAGCTCAGGCCTAGCTTCCTGTTTAAAAAGGAAACTGCTCCAGTGCTAGCTAGTTAATAAGGGGGGTGGGGTGGGCAGCTTCCTTTTTAAACAAGAAGCTAGACAGGAGCTAGAACCATGAAGGTGTTACTCTGTCAAGCAGAATTCCCAGAATGAAGAATGCTGAGAGCTAGGAGTCCAAACAATATGAATGGTACATCTCTACAAACTAGAGAAATTCAGAGGAAGCCAGATGGACTTAAGTTGTTTTGACAGTAGAAGAGATACATTCAACTTTCTGCCAATCACAGCTGTCCCTTGAAAACTTGAAATATATCTGTATTTTTTCAAACTGAAAATTCAGTTAAATGTGGTACCTGAGTGGTCTGAATAACAGTCAAATCATTCATTCGAGAAGTTCCTGGCCCCATGGCTGCTCGAAGTCCTGCAGTTCCAAATTCCATTCGTGAACCAAAACATTGTTGGATTTCTTCTTTATTTCCTTTTGCAACCATTTGCTTGACCATTTCCAATGTTTTAGGATTCTGTAAAAGATTTCATCTGGATTGTAAGGGCAAAGTGCATGCACTCTCCAGTTCTCTCCCCAGGTCCGCATTCCCTTCCCCCCCCCCCCCCATTTTCAAGTATAACATATATACAAGCACCTCACTGAGCCAGTGAGTTATTTGTCAGCTGGGACTGAGCAGAGATAGGCTTGCAAATCACCCCCCCCAACAAAACTAATCACATTTCCTCTTTCTCCAGTGATGCTCTCCCTCAGCTCTGACTCTGCACTTGGGGTCCCAGCATGGCACAGCAATTCCCTAAGACTTCAGCAGGTGTCGTGAGATAGGCTTGCAAATCAACCCCCCACCACCAACAACAACAAAACTAATCAAATTTCCTCTTTCTCCAGTGATGTTCTCCCTCAGCTCTGACTCTGCACTTGGGGTCCCAGCATGGCACAGCAATTCCCTAAGACTTCAGCAGGTGTCGTGAGACCTGGTAACTGTAACAGAGGACAAAGCTTTCCCAAAAGACAGTTTGCTGCCTACTACAATTATAAATGCTGTCCACAATTACAAATACACACCACAATTACAATGGACAATGGAATCACCTCTTTACCAGGGACAAATTGGGTATGCGGATTGGCTAGTGAACTATATACCTACATAACACTCCATTCTTTTTCTTTCTCACTGGCTTTACTCTCCCTCCATCTGCATCACTCTATACTCATTCAGCCTGTCCTTTTCCTCATTTTCCTCCACTCACATATACAGCAAGAGGAATTCTTATTCTCTCTGTCCTCACACACAACAGTATATACACATACTTGAAAGAAACAAAGGTCCCCAGGTAGCTTGATTACACTGGTGGCCGACAGATCAAACAGTTGTTATTTTCCAACCTACAGTAGTGCATCTAGATGCTTCTCCGCCCAACAGCCTCTCCTACCCTTTTCCAGACAGCAAAATGTCCAAAGTTTCCTCCCACAATATCCCATCCATACAGGAATACTACACAGGAATAGATGCTGTTCTCCACAGGATTCCTTCTGCTATACAAGCAAAGTCAACAAAAAATATGTTAATCAGATTGCTTCTGAGTGGCAGTGAGAGCTAGCCTGTTCCCAGAGCATTCCTACTGGGACTTCTTTGGATCCATGTCAGGGACTATTAATTTCAGGTTCAGGTAGGACTGCTCCATTTTGGTTCATTTCCAGCATATGTGATGGCTGAGACCGAACAAAACGTGGATGACTTGCTGTCATTTCCCTATCCTCTTTCAATTTTCCAATATTTTTAACTTCATGTTAGTGGGAAATTAAAACTTCCTCTGCTTCTTTGTGGAGGAGAAGAGGAAGGAAGCAAAGGTGGTGGTGGTTTTATGCCTATGAGGGCAGCGCTGATGTGCTATACCTTTTTAGGGGGGTGGGTGGGACTGAAAGCTTCATCCACAGAAGCGGCGAAGAGTGGAATTTTGATGTTGTTTTCTTTCTTTTTTATTTCCCCCTTAAAGTGGGGTGGGGCAAATAGGGTTGTGTGAGGTGTATATGCCATATGGACGCAAGGATTGCGCCCAATGGCATACATACACCTCTACACCAATTAATCCTACTGGGACTTCTTTGGATCCATGTCAGGGACTACTAATTTCAGGTTCAGGTAGGACTGCTCCATTTTGGTTCATTTCCAGCATATGTGATGGCTGAGACCAAACAAAACGTGGATGGCTTGCTGTCATTTCCCCATCCTCTTTCAATTTTCCAATATTTTTAACTTCATGTTAGTGGGAAATTAAAACTTCCTCTGCTTCTTTGTGGAGGAGAAGAGGAAGGAAGCAAAGGTGGTGGTGGTTTTATGCCTATGAGGGCAGCGCTGATGTGCTATAACTTTTTTGGGGACTTGCGGGTGGTGTGGGACTGAAAGCTTCCTCCAAGAAGGAGGAGAACACAGAAGCGGCGAAGAGTGGAATTTTGTTGTGGTTGTTTTCTTTCTTTTTTCTTTCCTCTTAAAGTGGGGTGGGGCAAATAGGGTTGTGTGAGGTGTATATGCCATATGGACGCAAGGATTGCGCCCAATGGCATACATACACCTCTACACCAATTAAGGCCTCTTCAATTGAACTGTCTAGCCAAGCCCTGTGAAGTCTGTGATCACCTTCATTTTGCAAAGGCAAACCCACCCATATCGCCATCATGGGTCTTCTCTCTTTTTTTGGTAACTCTTTTTAGTATTGCGGAGTGCAATTTGTTGTTATATTATTACATTACACCACATTACATGTTGAATTTATGATTCTGTCTGCCCTGTTCTCAAGGCTTCAAAACAGAAGCATTTTTGCCATTTGCACTGAAGGCATCCTTCAGTCTCGAGCGACTATGGTAACATGCTCTGTATGGAGGTCTTGGAACAGCCTCTAGTCTGGCTGAGAAGGCCAATTTGAGAGTGGCAATCCCTTTCACGCTGAAGACAAATACAATCTGTCCCCTGTCCAGCTCCCTGGTTTTGCTGGTTTCGGGACTGCCTCTTTCCCTCAGCCTGCTGTACAAGTGCATTCTCACTGATTTCCTAAAGATGATTAGGTTTGACAGTCCTGCACAGCTTCTGCTTGAAGTACTACCCTCTGCAGGATATTTGAAACCTCTTTGTTAGATCCGTCAATGTCAGGGTCTTACACTAGTCAGTTTCAAATGGTTGTATACATTACACCCACCCTAAAAGTAAACAATGCATAAAGAAACAATGTTGTGATGACATCTGCTACTTTTTTCACTCTCTTTAATGCAAACAAACAAATGTCCATTTTCAGACATGTATGCTAACATCTGTAATCCTTCAGAAGTCAAATGAGGCTTCATCCCAGTCTTCCGGAAGTTATTCACAGCTGAGATGTTCAGCTCTGAAGAAAGGACTATCCATTGATTTCCAATATATATAGAAATCATGAATTGCCAACTAGCAAATAACAATTAAGGCAAACTTTTAAATAAGTCATAAAAGTCACTACCATTAAACACCATCCCAAAACAACATTATTAGCCTGCAGAGGTGGGATAGAGATCTCCAGAACTTTATATGATGTAAAGCAGTGAGGCTGTTTTCCATTCCGGCAGCAAAAGAAAAACTGAGAGCTCTGTTCCTGCTTTACCAGTCTGTTCAGTCAGCTGCATGCAGTACCTTTGATAGTCTTTAAATAGAACACAGAATCCAAGACTGGAATTCCCCCCCCCCCCCCACTTCAATTGTTTTTTTAAAGGATCAAGAAGATTACTGTACAGTGTAAGAGAAGAGCAGAGTATTCTATTGTGGAGTAAGTTATTTTGTTTAGAATTCTTGAGTTGTTTAAATTCTTTTTAAAGTGTTTCAAGATGTTTAAATTGATTTGGAATCATTTACATTTTTAAAAGTAATTTTACTGACTGTACTACTCCCTGAGATGTAGCAATACAGAATGATTTAGAAATATATGAATAAATTTATGAAAAACTGGTTATTCTGAGCAATTAAAAGGAAGCTTTACAATCTTAGCTATAAGGCATCAAAACAGCTTTTGATATACTGTCACGAAGGTTTTTTTCAGTGGCAGATAGAGTAAGACCTAAGTCTTTTACAGTGATATATGTCAAGTCAGAATCTTGACTTGTTTTTTGGAAACTTGGCTTCAAATATGGCTTCAGTGAGAAAGTTAAAACTGCTTCCCCACTGCAGGGTCAGCTTTTCAATCCTCTAACATGTAATTATTCCCTTCTCTTTCCTCTCTGCATTCTGGTAGGTTTTGCAATTTTTTCTAATTGTGGATGTATACTGTGTATCTACATTATTTATTTATTGTTCAATTTCTATACCACCCATCTGGCTACAAGGCCACTCTGGGAAGTTTATACTCAATGGGATAATAACCATTAAAATATAAAACATCATCAAAAAAATCAGAACAAAAATACAACATTCAACTACCAATATAACATAATTATACAAAGTCAAACACAAAATCAAAATAACAAACATACAAAATACATAAAATCAACAAACAAATAACAACTTGAAAGACAAGATGGCGGAATGAAGTAAACACTAGAAAGTGCATCTGTGTTATTAAGATGTAATTTTTTTTCCCTCTTCTTGAGTCATGCCATCTTGGAAATGTGTTGTTTAGAATTAATTGTTATAATTGTATTTTAATATATGTTATTATGATGTGTTTTTATTTATATAAGCCGCCCCCAGTAGATGTTGTCTAGAGGTGCGGGGTAAAAATCTAATAAAATAAATAAATAAATAAATATTCTGGAAAGATCTGCCTAAGGAGCCATGTCTTCAAGGATTATTTAAAAGTTCCAGTGAAGGAGCCAGGCAGATTTCAGATGGGAGATTTTTCCAGAGATGAGGAGCAACCACCAAGAAGGTCCAGTTTCAAGTTTCTGAGCTTCTCTCACAGTCAGTAATCACAACCGCCCTGCCTGGGATGAGTGAGTCGGTCAGGCAGATCTCATTGGGGGAGTCGTTCTGTCAGGTATTGAGGTCCCAACCCATTTAGGGCTTTGTATGTCAGAGGCCTCACCTTGAGGACTCTTGAAGCTTGCATGGAAATGAACCAGTGCAAGGCGGCCGGTGTGGTCTTTCTTCACTCCACTCAACAATCTGACCACCATGTTCTGGACCTGCTGGAATTTCTGTAGCAGCTTCATGGGAAGCCCCACATAAAGAGGATTACAGTAGCCTAATCTCAAGACTACCATTGTTTGGACCAGCACTGTGGGGCACCCATTGTCAAGGTAGGGATGTAGCTGGGCGATCTGCTCTAGGTGGAGAAAGGGAGTCTGGACCACCAACGCTACTCGAGACTCCATTGATATTACAGGGCCCAGGCGTATGCCAAACAGTGAGCCTCATCCTTCATGGAAGGAGTAGCCCCCCAAACAACAGGGACACCTGTTCATTCTTTTTTCATTTTGGATTGTCTCATCATTGGGCTTTTAACATTAGAAATATTCAGCAGTGTTTGGGTGATTTCACTAGGAGTACAAATTTTTTTT